ACGACGGGTCGGATCACGGTGATAACCATGGCTCTAGTTATGATCTGCGGACCATTTACTGACGTTGTTTCTGCCAGACCTCGAGATGATATTGTGATGGCGTAGCTTGCAGAACGCTACGGTGTTGTCGTCCTCGTCGTTGTTGCTGCATACGCCATGTACGCGGTACTGTAGAGGTACTCGAAGAGAATCCGCTTGGTCTTGGCAAACACACTCACGAGCGGTTTGTCCCGGCGGCTGCCGTCGGCCGCGGCCACCGAGTGGTCGACGTGCGCCAATAGTCGGAGCTGCACTTTGGACGGGAGGCAAAGCACTTTTTTGGTCGTCACGAATTGGCTGTAGAGAGCAAACCCGATCGGGCGACTGCGCTCCGTCGGGTCAAGTGCGTCGATCGCGCGCCACAAGTCGACGTGGGCGTCCTTTCCGCGACGCGCGCAAAAGGCGCGAAACCTGTCGTCCGAGCGCAACACGAGCAAGAGCATGGCGCGGCTCGGCGCCGCCTTGTCTTCCTGTCGCATCGCTGCGCGCTCGCGGGCTCCGATCGCGTCGTCGAGCTTGTCGACGGCTTGCTGCACGAGCGCATGGGTGGCCGGCAGCCGGCCGAGGCGGCGCTGCAGCGTCTTCTGGGCGAGATCTACGCACGCCGTGTAGTCTGACTGCGCTATCTACTCGCAATTCATCAGCTACAGAGCATACTGTGTACAAGTTGATGAACCAAGAAGCGGTGGTAGTCGTCGAGGCCGACGCAGAGATGGCTGTCGTCCATGGCCACGTGCGTCCAGAGAAGCGCCAGCGCCTGTTCGAACCGCTGAATCGCCACCACTGTCTCGTTCCGGGCCTATGCACAGCGAATAAGGTATGAGTTGCATGGCGTGGATACTGCCACCGCAAGCACGCGCGCGTGTTCGAGATAAATATGCCCAAGAAAGGCCACGTCATCGTCGACGTCGGTGCGGATGCTGCTGAAGAGCGTCTCGAGCTGCTGCGTAGCATCCTCGAGCTTGCCTTCGCGGCGGTAGACGCTGGCCAGTTGGAGCTGCGCCGCATG